GGTTTAGGGTTTAGGGTTTTACTAAACCCTAACGATCGCCGGATTCATCACAGCCCACACCGAAACCCTGGTCCTATAACTCCGAAATAGAAGACCTGGATCCATCGAAAGAGCCGCAATAAAGACCCAAGAGGACCCAAGTTTTCTTAATTTTGGTTTCTATAGCAGTAAAGAGACGGTTTCTTGGTTCGAACCATATGAAGTACTACATAAATCCTTATCATCGCACCTCAAACCTAAACCCTATAGCATTCAGCTCTGCCCAGGCTCAAAGCAGGCGCGCGCGAGGAAACGCAGGCCAGGGAACTGGAAGTCATCTGGGAAGCATCATTTTTTCAACTTAAACTAGTAGCCAAATATAGACTTCTAAATCATTACCAATACGATGCTGGGGTTCCTTTTTATAACTAGAGTATAAGATACCCCAAAACCCTGTTCTAATTATTAAGGCCCCTACATTAAAATAATTACCTATAGTATTCCTTAGGGTTTTCGGATCAGGATATGGGGTTTAGGGCCCGCAGCAATCTGGACAACTAAGGAGCAGCAGCTAAGTAAGCTTTGGGGGGGGGGTTTAAGTGTTTGACGTTTAGAGTTCAGGAACCTTAAACCTTAAGCCCTGAACCCTACCCTAAGTCTTAAACCCTGTTTAGGGTTTAGGGTTTAGGGTTTAGGGTAAACCCTTAAGCCCTAAAACATTAAACCGTTAACCGGAACCTTTCTCCGAGTTCCTATCCAATTGCCCCTGACGATGATGCTCCGATCCCCAGAAATTGGGAGGCCCCCAACCTACCCAAACCTAAGTTCTTGTAGGGTACTTACAAATTCCCAGGTTTTTAGGTTTAGGGTTTAGGGGTTCACCTTGGGAACCTCCAAAAAACAGAGGTTTTGGTATTTTATTTAGGGGCTCCAACATGATGGGTTGCAATGTCTTTTCACTAGCAAACCATGGGGGGGTAATGCTAGCAATAACGGTCCGAGTAGTAGTACTAGTATAGTAAGAGCAAGCATAATGGTAATACTTTTGGTTATAAATCCTAAACTATAGGAATTGCGGTATCTTCCTTCTTATGGGGAAATGCAGGGTTTATATCATCAACCGTACTAGCAATAGTCGTAATCCCAGACCGCCGGGAGGATCCAAAAAATAGATCCCCTCAACTAAGGGGTTCCTATAAAGTACCCTTTAGTAGTTAGGGTTAAACCCTAAACCCTAAACCCTAAACCCTAAACCCTAAACCCAAATTAGGAGATCTATCTTTTTAGATCCTCCCGGTGGTTGGGGACAATAGCACTGGTCGGTTAGGACTTGAGTTCGAGCAGTCCCCTAAGCTCCGCCGGTTTGGGGTTTAGGCTTTAGGTTTCAGGGTTTGGGGTTCAGGGTTTAGGTTTTTTGGGTTTAGGGTTCAGGTTTTTAGGGTTTCAGGGTTTAGGGTTCAGGTTTTTAGGGTTCAGGTTTCAGGGTTTAGGATTTATGTAGGTTTTTAGCATGACCAAGTTTTCACCGGTGTTGCTTGGCTGTTGCCATCGGTGCAGAGGGTCTATAGGCTGCCAATCAGAACGAAATGACAGACGAGATGGTACGTCCAGTCTGGCATGGAAGTGATCATACTTTTGAGTGCGATGGTGGCGAAGACCAGAAACCGAGTTCCCGGAAAGAGGACATCAGAATAGACACCCTCGTCAAGAATTCGGATCACAAGCTTCATCAACAGACACCATTATTACATCCTTTGTTGTTCCGTTTATTGCTATCATCACCGTTGCGACTCTTCTTCCCACCATGGCTTGCTGCCTCCACAGAGCGCAGCAAGCATAGGCGTCAGGCAGAATGCAGCCAAGCGCCATGCATGCATGCTAAATCCTAAAACCCGAAACCCTAAATGGGTAGTTCTTTGAATCAAGGTCCCTTGTATTCAGGGTCCTTTCTATACTGGTGGCGTACTATTTTGGAGACCTACAAAGGGGACCCTAATTTGAGAATTATCCTAAATACTTGAATCCTAAGAAGCCTGAAGCCTAAACCCTAAACCCCTACACCCTAAGGGGTTCATAAGCAGGAGCCACCATGGCGAGAGAAGCAGGAGCCGCCATGGAGGGAAAAAGACAAGGAGGACCTCGAAACTGCGGTTGAGGCCCGGATGTTTGCGTACTCAAGCTTTTGGGATTTGAGGACTTTGGGACTTGAGGTCTGGCGTTCGCAGTTTTGGTGTCCGGGTCTAGGACCCGGAGTAGGCCCTTATTTCCTTTTTCATTCCTAGGTTACTCCTGGGTCTAGGGGTTTTTGAGTTTAGGGTTTAGGGTTTAGGGCTTGGGGGGCAGTCTCAAGCTGGGAATCTGAGACACGCGTCATTTTCCCTCGTGTCTGAGGCCACCGGGAATAGGAATACCACTACTTCTGTTACTACTACTACTACTACTACTACTACCACTACTACTACTACTACTACTACTACTACTACTACTACTACTGCTCCTGCTCCCACTACCACTCCTCCTGCTGCTGCTGTTGCTAGTGCTGGTAGTTGCTACTGCTATTGCCAGGGAACCGCTCTTGGTACTCTTTCTAGAGATGTGGATGCCTAGATCCCTCCCAATGTATTGCGGTTCAGGGTCTAGGGCCGTTTAGGGTTCAGGGTTCCTTATACATCAGGCCGATGCCACCACGCAGTAATTATTAAGGACCAAACACTGGATGTCGGTGCGGCGGGGGGGGGGGGCGAACCGCAGGAGCATGTTTTTCACGGCGGGGTCTCTTGTGGCCGGAAGGGGAGCATGTAAAACCGGGCGCAACAGCGCGAATACACGTACATTTTGTAAATATAAATATAAATATAAATATAAATAAATAAATATATATATATATATATATATAAGTGTACTTTGAGTAGTTCCATCATTCTGATTGTCGTTTGTGTTGTTTTTTTCCTGAGTCGGCAGAGGCCTTCTTGGAGCAGCACCATGTGGAGGAGGACGCTGCGGCAGCCCTTCGCGAAGCGCCTAAGGAGGATGGGGTTGGGAGGGGACACGGTTTAGGGTCTAGGTTTTAGGGTTTAGGGTTCCTATACGGTCCTAGGTTTACTGTGAGTGCATTATGTAGCAAGTGAGAGCGAGGGCGAGGAACAAAGAGAAAAGAAGTGTGTTTCCTGGAAGGGAGAGAGGAAGAGGCAAAGAAAACCAATCCGGGGAGGGCGACGGTGCCCGCCGGCATTTTTAGCCGCCATGCTATGGCAGTGCAACTAGTGCTATGACATTGGTTTGGACTGTGTTGCATTGGTCTTACTCCAGTCATCAGCATCATCCGACTGACCTTCCTGACAACCACGGTCATGTCCATGATGTTGATTAGTGTCGTGCTCAAAGTCAATTCCCGCTGTCTCTCCAAATCTCATGACCAATGTGACCTGTGTCGTGGTTCGACTCTAGGCTGTGGCCGCAATCATTATCACCTCCATTATTTGCATGACCATGAACATCCTGTTCCTCATCAACAATAGCGACAACAGCATCAATACGATGATCGACTGCATCATAACTCCTTTTCATGATGATGATCATCATCATCATCACCAGCGGCACCATCATCAAGTTCAAGATGGCCGCACCATAAATCTCTAAGCCTTAAACCCTAAATCCTATAATGTTGGAGGGTCCTGGTCCCCACAGCTGAACACTAAGACGCCAGCCCTAAAACCCTAAAGCCGTATACCCTAAACCCCAAATCCATGGAAACGAGAGTGTCTGGAGGTCCAGAAGCGCATCCTCAGTGAGAAGAAGGCTCGACGGATGGCGTTTGTGTATCAGCTTTCAAGAGGGTTTTTTACAGGGCTTTGTAAGGATTTAGTAGATTCCTTTCGAGGATTGCCGACAACTCCGGGTCCTTCATTCGACGGTTTAGGGTTTAGGGTTTAGGGTCGGAATTCAGGCTTCCTACTTTGTTCTCCAATACCCAACCTTTAAATTTGTTGGCTTCGTAAAACCTATAGTAGCATAATCTGAAAGTTTAGCCTTTTATTTCCAAGCTTAACTTTAGGATTCTTCTGCTTGCGGGTTTATAGTGCTTTGTTCAGGGTTTAGGGTTTAGGCTTTAGGGTTTAGGGTTCAGGGTTTAGGGTGATCTTTATTGGGGAATTGCATCTTGACTGTGTTGGAGGTTTGAGATTCGGATTAAGGGATTGAGGCGTTTAGGGTTTAGGGTTTCGACAAGGCATCTAAACGGTTTCGGGCTTTTGCGTAGGCGCGAACTTGGCACTTGTAGGCGAGTTTGATGTCTGGACTCAGGGTGAGATACTGTTTCGGCAAAGTTATGGATGTCTACTCGAAATGCTGATATTTGAATGACAGCAATACGACATAGCCTTCCTCTCCAGTCATCGGGCACGGGGTTGCTGAGCGGCTTTGTGGTCGCTTAAGCGCAAATTGTGGGCGGGGGGGGGGGGGGGGG